CAGAGAAAAGTGCACTTTTGAGGTGGGAACACACTTTTTATATGGCTGTACTCTACCATTAAATGACTTAATGTCTTTATATATGTGTGTTTTTGTACATATTGGTGTCAAAGTTTTTGACTTAAAGCCAATTTCTTTTTTTTTCTACAGGAGATTCAGCAGGAGACAGATATTCCAGAGCGAGAGTTGGTGCGAGCATTACAGTCTTTAGCATGTGGGAAACCCACACAGCGAATTCTCACTAAGGAGCCCAAGTCCAAGGAGATAGAAAATGGACACGTGTTTACAGTCAACGATCAGTTTACCTCGAGACTGCACAGAGTCAAAATTCAGACAGGTGAGCAAAGGCTGTGTGTAATGCACCAGAGCTCGCTGATGTCTTGTGTCTTTTCCGGGACCCTTTCTGTCCGTCTCGGCTGACACTCCAGGATATATGGGTCATCACTGCTGTGCTTTTTAAAAATATAATAGTATTTCATATTAGTACTTATATTATCTAATACTGACTGATTCCGTACCACAAGTAGAATATCATACAGCTTTTTAACTCAAAATAAAAACACAATAATTTACTTTAATTTTTATTTATATATTTATTTTTTTATTTTTTTATTTAGGGCTATGCATAAGTAAAGGCTTCTGTTCTGAAATACTTACTGTTACATGGTGGCTGTGTAACCATAGCATTCTTTGAAGTGGAGTTAGGACACTTCCTTTCTGTAATACAGTTCCTGTATCCAATTTTTCCAGTTGCTGCTAAACAAGGTGAATCAGACCCTGAAAGGAAAGAGACTCGGCAGAAAGTGGATGACGACAGGAAGCACGAGATTGAGGCAGCCATTGTCCGAATCATGAAGTCGAGGAAGAAGATGCAACACAATGTCCTGGTTGCAGAGGTAAGGAACTTGTCCATTTTACAGAATCCATTTTCATTTTTCAAATAATGAACAACAATTTTAATGCTGTTACTTTCTGTTCTTCTTTTTTTTTTTGTGTGTTTGTTCAGGTCACTCAGCAGCTCCGGGCACGTTTTCTTCCGAGCCCTGTGGTAATCAAAAAGCGGATAGAGGGACTTATAGAAAGAGAATACTTGGCGAGGACACCAGAGGACCGTAAAGTGTACACCTACGTTGCGTAGAAGATGAACTGTGAAGGAGACGAGGAAGAGACTGGACTGGAGGGAGGGGTAGTTGTTTTTCTTTGGACTGTTGTTACGCATGGACTGGAAGTTTCTTTTAGAGACAGACACTGGGAACCCGACTCATCGCCACTTCCAAAAAAAATACAGTAAACACATAAATGGGGAATAAAAATCTTACTACAGGAAAAAAAGAATCCATCGAAATCTTCTAGATGATTTTTAAATCTGACCAAACTTCCTGTTCCCTGAGAGTTTTAACATGGATGGATCCAGCTTCAAGCTTTTCACTGTTTTACCCTTGTAGAGCTCAAACTTGAAAAGAATCCCTTGGGAAAAATGTGAATGCACCACTTATTTTTTTGGCTCAATACTGTATAAAAATAAAATTATTTAAAAAAAGAAAAAAAAAAAAAGGAAAAAAAAAAGGAAAATGTGGATTCTTACAAAATAACGATTATGAAATGCTGGAGTTTTTCAAGCAAGCAATTGCAAAAAGTCCACTAATTTACTGGTGTTTGTCAACCAGCTGTGACGGATCAGTATGAAAGGAAGCAGGCTGAGAGGGAGTGTTTACTGCTCTCTGCTGACCCTTTGTGGAAATAGCATTTAAATCCACACCCAGACAGTTGAGGATGAAAACATCTAGTTTATCCTGCTGCTCTGCAAGAACACAAGTACAGTCTTTTCTCCCAATGGAGACAACGCTGTCATCTGGTGTTTATATAGAAGAAAGTGTTTCCTTCCCAGCACGCTTGGTCATGGTTCAGTTATCTGAATTTGAGATAATAATGGGTATTTTTTTTTTCCCCCCCACATTCCATCTGTTAGGTTGGGTTTATACTGCCGTAATATTGTGCAAATATGTAACAATGTGGCGCCATAAAGGAGACTGAGCAATCAGGTGCAGAAAAGCCATTTTTTTTTTTCCTATTTTATCAAACATCAACTGCACATCTGAGATTTAAGCACTGTTGACATTTGTGCAAATTTCCAAATATAAAGCACGAGTCAGAAATCTGTTTTTGTAATGTAAATATACAAGACATGAGTGTACATGCAATCAAGTCAGTTATTTCGTCTTTAATCAATATTTTGTGACACTACACAACGCAGTTTCATAAACATGCAACTGTTGCTGTAGACAGGAGGCTTGTTAAGAATCGACGACACCTTTTCCAGTAGCTGGTCATATGGTTATGACGTAGAGTAGCAGACAAACTAGACAAACTGTGGTCTACAAGGTCCAGCGGGATCTGCGTCAGCTTGCAACTGAAAATCTTTGGATAGATTCTCCAATTGCGTCATGAAACTCTGAATCTCCTCAGCCGAACTGTGAGTCCAAGCCAGAGGGAGGTGGGTGGGAACAGGCTTCCGATCTGCAACACATGTAAGCTGTCAGAACTGGTGGCGCCAGACGATGACGATGCTTGAGTTGACCTGAGAAGGTTAACAGAAAATATGGTGGAGCCCGTCACATTTCGTGTTGTTTACCTTGAAAGAACTGCCCGCTGCGTGTTCTGGAAGCCACCCTGGACAAAGCCAACCACACGACTGTGTCGGCTCCTTGTTCTACAGTACGCAGCCTGTCCTCCATCATCCGGTGGAACTGAGGCATTGATGTAGAAACGGCTGGAAACAAGGAGAAAATAGATCTAGCTGTTAATTGTATTTGTGGTTTTTGAGAAAGGAGGAAGACTAATTAAAATACAGTTCAAGAAAAACTGCAACTGTTGCTCAAATGAGCGTACCTGGTGTATCTACCCAGCCTGGATGCATGACAGAAAAGTGAATGACAGGATTGGCTTTGGCCCACTGTTCTGTCAGCACCACCTGCTGTCTCTGAAAAGGAACAACACAATGTGGCCTCTTTACATCTTACGTCAGTCTTCTCCATTACTTTAAAAGACCTATATAACTAGTCAGACATGGTATTGTGCAATGTAAAGCAGGTTCAAACTTAATTTTTAAAAACTCTGGACCACACTTTCCTGTCTTACCTTGTTCTGTGCGTAGACCATAACGGCATCAAAGTAGCCCTTCGCCGACTGCAAGTCATCGACCTCGAGTTTCTGTACCAGCATGCCTCCTGAGGACACAGTGATCTAATAGGCAGGAGGGGGAATAAATACATCAGTGTGCTTACAACACCATGACCCACTACAACGTGGACAAGAGTGGCATTATACTGTCTGCACTATACAGATGAACACTTTGTTTGTGTGCACTTATGCGTGTAATCATACCACTCTTGGATCCCGGCTCTTCTGTAAAAGTGGTATAAGAGTCTGTGTGAGAATATACACCCCTGAAAAAGGAAATTAAAAAATTGAAAAATTGTTATGCAAGACAACAGTCTGACCATCAGAAGAAAATCTCACCCATAGTGTTGGTGGCAAAGTTCTTCTCCAGCCCTTCAGTGTTCAGCTCTCTCTTGTGCACCATACACCCTGCATTGTTTATCTGCCAAAGCAGAGAAAAGTCCAATCACACAACTTAGTCTAAACCATTAACACAGTTAGCTTAGGAAAGAGGATATGAAATCTATTTATTGTAATAAAGAATAAAGGTGATACATGCCAAACCATTCAGTGATGGATACTGCTTCTTGAAGGCCTCTGCAAACTCCCAGACTTTGCGTGACTGGGACATGTCCACAGTATGGATGTATACTTCCTAGAATATGAAGATTAGGCATCACTTTGTTTCTCATAAATCAGGGGATTTTTTATTTGCTTTTTACTTTCTGTATTTAAAGTCAATATTCTCACCGTGTTCCCAGATTTAGTAACAATGTCTTCTTTGGCTTCTTCTGCTTTATCTTTGTTCCTACAAACCATGTGGACCGTGCCACCTGGAGACAAAGCATCAGGTTTTATTTGCTATCATTATGTGGTGATGTTTGACAGATAACACAACCCTCCGGCGTGTACCTTTCTTGGCTATAGCCACGGCTGTTGCTTTTCCAATTCCACTGTTGGCTCCAGTAATCATAAATGACCTCCCCACCACCGACACATCCAGGTCCCGGGGATCAAACTCTTTAGACGCCACCTCGTATCCCTTCCTACGGGCGTGCAGAAAACATGTAATAAAGTTAATGCTTCAATTTGAGGACTGATCATTTCTCAAAAGGCGGCTTGTGATTGACAGCCTGCATTGTTGTTGAGATGATGAGACGATGAAACTGTCATCCTCAAGACACACGAGCTGTCAATAGAACTATTGTAACTGTACATAAAGGGCAGTTTGTGTGATGATTGTGCCACACAGTGATCAGACCTTTGATATGGCTCTGCGGAGCAGCTTTTGGGGTTGAATAAACAACATGAAATGCATGTCACAGGGCAGAAATCTTAATTTTAGTTTTAAAAAAAGAGAGACAGAACAAAACAATACCAAGTAAAAAGATTGATATTTACCAGGCATCTTTTGACAGCATCCCTACACACAGCAGATCAACACCAAAATGATATCCTACTGACCTTGTATATTGCTGGATTCCATTCAAAAACCAGATGGCATTTCGGTACAGAGACATGATTTCAAATGAGGAACAATCCCAAACAAAGTGCATCAAGTTTTCCAGTCCTTGTTCAAGCAGCTGTGTGACAGATCATAATCACATGAGGCGGGAGGAGAGGGATGCGCTTGCTGCTCTCTGCCGACTCCGACCGGGAATAACATTTAAACACACACCCTGACAGCAGTCACGCGACGCCAGTTATCAGTTCATTCATTAACGTGGGTCCCACAGTCACGTGGCAGATTTTTTTATTTTTTTTAAAGGGCGCTCCTGGTTGGGCGGATCCCTGGAAATACAAGCCCAGGATAACCAATCCACGATTGTTGTGAGTACCGATGACGCGTCACTGCCCAGCGGCATTGTGGGCGGAGTTAGCCAAGTTTCACCCTGTACTCACTTCACGGAGGATAGATATGTGTCCATCCGGGCAGTTTGACCCTTTGTGAGGGTTAAAGTACTTCGTTTTTAAATATTTTCACGGTGTTTTGTAGCTCCTCGGTCTGGTGTTGAAAATGGTAAGTTTCTGGAGAATGTGTTTGTTTTGTGCGCTTGATTGTAGGCATAAAATACCCCGACTGTTCACCTGTTGCACCTGCTGTCGCTGACAGGTAGCTAAAGCTAGAAACTGCGCCTCTAACAGCACTTCCTGCTACACTGGGTCAGGTTTGTTTTCCGATTCAGGCCTGATGAGAGTCTACTTGGTTTCCACTTTGAGTTTTTATTGTCTGTATCCTACTTTTAATAAAACTCGGAAGTAAGGTGTGTGCTCTACCAGTCGGTCTATTCTGTAAGAAAACAGGTTTTGTGACTTCTCGTCGAGCGTTGCCCTGCTGGCTGTTTAATGCTTTACATATTAATTTGCCTGTGAGTTCTTAAGGGGTGTACACACCTGTAAATGACCTACAGGTGTGTAGACTTAAACAATCAAGTCTTCCTGTATCTCTGGTGGTTAATGCTTGACTATCACTCAGTCTAATAATGTTATCTCCTTCTGTATTGTTCATTTCTAGTAGTGGAAGAACTGGTATGTCTTCATTTTGTTGGCCTGAATGGCTATAATAGAAGAATATGTTTCTTCTTTATACATTGTATAACCGTGTATTGTTTTTTTTTTCTCTTTAGTTAATGGGTTTCTCAGATATTTGAACTCAGCTGCTCATTTGAATGACACATAAACAGGCTGGATCATAAATGTTGTGCAGGACATGCCAATTGTGTCATACTACACATACTTCTTTATGACTGCAGTGGTGTCCACTGGCTTTTAAGTGTGCTCTTTGTTGCACATCAGGGTTTAGGCATTACAGCCTCACTGGTGACCTGAATGGTAGAAAATAATTGACAGACCTCACTACTGAGACAACCCCCTGTTTTTCCTCTTTTGTTTTTTTTCTTGCAAGCAAAAACCTGGTACTCTTAAAGTTGAGTCTGATTTTTGTTTTTTCTTTAAATGAAACCTAAAATCAGGATGATATTTCAGAGAGCCTTGCATGTTCTCGCTTCTGATTGGGAGAAAAATGCTCCATAAAGCCTGAAGACAAAGTAATATTTATTCTTGAAGCCTAACTTTAACAATGAGAGGAAACGGCACGGCAGTGTGGTCCCGACAGAGTGGGGGTGGGGATGAAGGAGACTAATGTCTGTTTGGATATGTACTCAAACCTGACCGGTGCTCGGAAACACGTTATCCAAACATCCAAAAGCTGGACTTGCTGGCTCACTTGAAAACTGCCACTTCCTCAGTTGTCAGTGACCTTCACTATTACTCCCTGTCAAGCCCTTTATTTCCCCCTCGTGTTTGGTCAGTCAAGTTACTCGCTAATGAACCGTGCCAGCAGCACAGCCACTTGTGCAGTCCTGATTGTGACTGTGTGTGTTGGTGTGGGCGCAGCGCCGGCTGCTTAATAAAGTTTCTCGGGATTAACTTGATGTGGATTTCTGTTTGTTTGTGTGAGTCATCATTGCTGCGTCGACACGGGCCAGGATTTCCCCTCTGACAATGCCCTCTTGTGTCGTTAGATGCGCTTCATGCTGCTCTTCAGTCGCCAGGGGAAGCTGCGTCTGCAGAAGTGGTTCACGTCCATGTCGGAACGTGAGAAGAAGAAGATCATCAGGGACATGACCACCATGGTGCTGGCACGGCAACCCCGCTCCTGCAACTTCATGCAGTGGAAAGACCTAAAGATTGTTTATAAGCGGTAAGATTGCTTCACGTGTTTATTGACACTTCTCCAATAGGTGTTGGTCCCCACAATGCCACTGTTAATCATCTGTGTCTGATTCTCCTCAGGTATGCAAGCCTGTATTTCTGTTTGGGAGTAGAGAGCCAGGAAAATGAGCTGCTAGCCCTGGAGATCATTCATCGCTACGTGGAGCTGCTAGACAAATACTTTGGCAATGTATTTCACCTTCTCATATTTGTTATGCAGCTGTAGTCTGAAGTAAAGTGTTGCTAAAAATCAATAACATTGCTGCTCAACTAGGCTGCAAAGATTGGATCTAAGAATATGTTCTGCTCTGTAGTTTCTCTAATTTAATAACTGCGTCATCCTCTCAGGTGTGTGAGCTGGACATTATCTTTAACTTTGAGAAGGCCTATTTTATCCTGGATGAGTTTCTAATGGGAGGCGAGATCCAGGAAACCTCTAAACAGATTGTGAATCGCTCCATTGAAGCCTCAGACATGTTACAGGAGGTGAGATTCACTGATATGCACGCACAAATGCACTTAGTAAAACACTGTGACTTGCACCTGTGGTGTGAGCACGTAACATCTGTTGCATGGCTCAGTGTATAAAGCGAGACACTGCAGGCATAGGCGTGTTTTCTTCATGCACTGGTTGATTTTTGAGATTCTGGCCTATTTGGATTTTTTTT